TCCCCCCCCCCCCCCCCCCAATAATCAGTATCAATAAACCCACCAAAGTTGAAGTTTATCCACCTCAACTTCTCAAAGATGGAGGCACACGCATCTATAATCCAAGGAAAATATGTGTGGAAATGGAGAATTCAGAAAATAAACAATAGATGATACAGTCAATTAAATATCAGAAGAAAAACCATGTAGGTCTTGCCCAATAACAGGCATGCCTTTTCTGCCAGTACCTTAAAGCATGATTTTCAGTATCTGCCACATACAAGAGGTTCTTCTTCGCATTGTAAGCCAAACCCTGAAGATATAATAAGAATTAAGATCTTAGATTAATTTTGCAAATGAGAAAAATTGCAAAATTACAATGGTTACCTGTGGACGATTGAATGTTGCATCATCAAAGTTACCATCACGAAGACCCTCTGCTCCTGTGCTTCCAACTTGGACTAAAAAGTTTCCTTCTAGATCAGTTACTACCTGTCCATGTGAAAATTGTCCGGGATTACTAATTCTACCATTCACCTCATAAAGAGAGCATGGAAATAGAAAGAAGACTAACAATAATAAGATCTAGGGCTAATACAGGCCAAAAGCATGAAGGACCAGAACAGATGTGATACTACATATCTGAGTTACTCAAGTAATGTATGGAAAAGCAAAAGTATCAGACGAAAAATCATGGCCGTGTTCTTGAGACTAGGACAAGTAAGAAGGAACTAAAATGTAACAGAATGAAAAAGTTCAGAAGAGAGCAAAGAAGAACCAGAATGTATCTAGAAGAAAACATAATTTCCTACACAACTTTTGAGTCCCCCACAAAGAAGAATTTCAAGAGTAAAAGAAACAAAATGTACATTTCTTATGTGCATAACTAGCAAGCCCTACCTTATCCTCTTCCGCATTTTTTCCATCTTCCTTGGGAATTTGATTCTACCATATTCGCCAGCCCTAGCGGTGGCTTCAAATCTTAATTATTTGTTCTAATTTAAATATACCACCCACCAATCTTCATTAGCAGGAAAAAATTTTCAGGATATACTCTAATTTCATCTCCAAATTACCATTACTATACACTGCATTAGAATATGAATGATCATGCTTTGACACTTTAGTGATATTATCCCTTGCCTTCTGATAAAATGTATAAAGATTGATCTTATCTTTTGCATAGCCCTAGACTTTTCATCATACATTCTGTTTCTTCCTCTTGCAAACATTAGAAAATAAATGATCATGCTTTGACACTTAGCTTTTTGCAGATATCAGTAAACGTGGACTTGGAAGTCCTGCAACCCCAGTGTCGGGAATACATTTACTTTCAGAGGTAGGTATACCTCCCTTTATTGATAACCAATATGCATTTTAACATCAAACTTGATATTCTTCAATAACCCCATGGTCAGTTCATACCTCCAGAAAACCTCAAAAAGGGTTAACAAACCTTGATGCTACAGACACCAACTACTTGCTGCAGGTCATGCATTCAAAATTTTGCAACCTAATACAACAATCATACAGAGAGAATGCAGAAAGGAGAGAGAAGAAGAACTTACTATTCGGTTATGATTGCTGTCTGAAATAAATAGCCGGTTGTTGAGGACATCAACTGTCAGCTTACCGGGGAACTTTAAAGGAGATGTTAACAAGCGGGGATCATTATCTTTCTCCAAGCGCAAGGGAATGGGTTTGCTATCCAAGAGCTTCTTCTTACCATAGAACAGAAGAGCAGCCTCGACTAAGTTATCAAGATCCTACAAACCAAAGCAGAAGACATCGAAATGACAGCTAATTCTTGTCAATAATCTTCACTACCAACTGCCACAGATCATATTAATTAGAAAGAAATATGTGAGAGGCAATGTGCTATAATCAAAAAGCATAAGAAACTGTATGTTACAAATTATCTCATTTGAAGTAATTTCATGCCATAAGATAGCTAGAAAAGATAGGACTAATGGAGAAACTCCAATATGTAGCTTCCTAAAGAAATTCTTTTATGAAGTTGCATTAGGTAACCGCAGGCGCTTAGACGTTTCAATAGTATTTTCTTCATGATAGAAAAGAGAGGAAGAGAATAAAAACAGAAAACAAAATAGAGTTTCAGAATAAAGGAAAGGTGACCTAGTTTACAACAACTACATTCCCAGTGTAATACATCAAAGTGGGGTCTAGGGAGGGTAAAGTATACGCAGACCTTACCACTATCCTTGGAGGTAGAGAGGTTGTTTCCGATTAAAGGTGACCTAGTTTTAGTTCCCTAAAATATCAAAACTGACCTAGCCTAGGTTACACAAAACTAATATTAGAAAACATATTTTAAAAATTCAGATGATAGAGAAATGCCACATTGAGGTCAGAGATAAGGGTCTGTCAGCTACCAAAAAGAACTGGCTATGATCTGGTCAATCTTTCCACTCAATTGGGAGTACATTTGCAGTAGATTCTTTTTTTATCCTTCCACATTTCCATCTTATGCGTTTACATATGGAAGTAATTCGTTTTGATTTTTGAGATACAATGGCTGAACAAAGAAAGTTCTGGATAAACTTTAGGTTATATATGGAAAGAAAGGGGCAAAATAATGACTTGATCACATAGTTCAACATGGTTTTCTCTAACATCGCAAACTTTTAGATGAATTGATCACATAGTTCAAGTCTCATCACTACTCATTATCAAAAAAGAAAAAATCCACGTGTTTGGCCAATGAAAAACAGTCCTGCCCACATGACAGGGGACATGTTAATGACATCTTTAAGTAAATAAAAGTATATTTTCCCTGACAACTTAAACTTTTAGATGAGTTGATGACACAGTTCATCAAAGAGAGTGAAATATGACCTATTCTCTCAAACGTTTTTGGTGATAATGCACTTTGAGAGGCATTTCAGAATTGAATGTATTACATCAATTGTCAAGTTAATAAATGAACTATTTTCCATCATCTAATCTTAAATGTGCCATCATGAATGTGTTAAATAATTCATATATATATATATACTATTATTGCATGAAACATCAAATAGAAAAGGAAATCTGTAAGAAACCTTTCTATGACCTTCGCCAGCTATTTGTGCCAAGAGCTTTCCATTTGGCCCAACAAGAACAAATGTTGGCCACGAATTGACACCTAATTCCCGCCATAAATTCATTTCTCCATCATTGACAACCTGATCATTCAATGGAGGTTAAGGAAACTACTTAACATACAAAAAAGAAGGGAAGAAGGAGAGACACCCCCCAATTAAAAATTAAAGCAGATATTTTGAAATGATAACAATGTCAAATTCCAAGTTACTCTATTCAGCAGTATCTGGGATCTGAATAATAAACTTCAGCAATAAACAAGAGCTTCAATTGGAAACGTTGATTACATACATTGTTAGGAAATCCTTGATCATTAACAGTGAATTAGCAAGTATTCCCTTCTGTTAAATACATGGAGTCCTAGAGGCTCAGATGGTACACATTTGAATTGGATAAGAAGGGTGGGGGAGAGGCTCTCTAGACAGTGCTAACGATTGGAATGGCAATTTTGACATAGCCAAGTATGGTGTAGATAGCAGCGGAGATTCTACCTTAATCTACCAAAAAGAAGTAGTATATAACCTAATCTGGATGCTCTAAATTCTCTCCACATTTATGTTGTTTCCAAATGTTCATCCGTTTCTTGGGGATCTAATAGATTCAAGAGCAAGCAGATTTGTGGTAAAGAGCCATTCAACATTAAATCAGTAATAGTTCAGCTCTTGAATAAGTACTTACTGGATGAGTGATTCCATAGCGTAATACAGCACTACGGATGGCTTCAAGGTCCTTCTCGTTGTCAAATTTAGCTGAATGCACCCCCACAACCACAAACTGCAAAACTAATGTTTGATGAATTAGCTACGACTACAATCAGAAATGTGTAAGCAAACCTTCAGATGCAACTGTGGATAAAAGTAATTAATTCATCTTGAGGTTCCAAGTTCAAATCCCAAGCACTACATTTTTATTTTTCAAACCCCCATGGTGAGAATCATGGATCAGCCACGGTATGAAACAATTATTTGAGGTGACTCTATATTGGTTTGACCTGTCAGTATTAACTCAGAAAGTTAACAGATTAGCCCAATTGAAAGCTAAATCTTATGACATTTGTTTCTCCTTTTAACAGCATTTGCGCAATCTGCAAAACTCATTTTATGCCTATTCTTCTGTGAAAATTGCTCAAAATCAAGAGTTTGAAGATGTTATAGATAATGGATAGTGGATACAGTGGAATATTATAGAATAAACTAATAGATTGTTGTCTGGATTTCAGAGTAATCTAAAGCCTAAGTAAAACAAAAACAAATTATTTATAGCATTTACCACACAGAAAAGAATATAGAGATGTAATATCAACAAAGACAAACCCCATGGGATTGCAATCTAGACAGCATTTGGTTAGTGTCATAAAGTACTGCTTGATCATAACATTCCTACATTTTAGCAACATTTCTTTCTAAATGAATTTTGAACAAAGTTTAAACCAGCTAACCCCATGGGATTGCAATCTAGACAGCATTTGGTTAGTATCATAAAAGTACTGCTTGATCATAACATTCCTACATTTTAGCAACATTTCTTTCTAAATGAATTTTGAGTAAAGTTTAAACCAGCTAACTCATCCTAACCTAAAACTTGACCATGACTTTTTTAATTTCACTTTCACTTTGCTGCAAGGTGCACCTCCATCTAATGAGAACCTCAGATTGTATGTAGTTCCAACAGGAACTATAGTATGCATGTGCATGCTTCTGCCAGAATTAGTGGAATATTGATTGGCGTAATTATGAGAATTTTCAGAAAAGAATTTTCGATAGATATAACTATGTGAGAAAATGATTGGGGTAACATCTCAGATGATCAACTTGTTATAGACACAGAATATCATTTCATGAGATAACCAATAAAGCTGAAATTGCAACCCTAAGGGATGAATGACAATCTTACAGGCATATCTTTATATTTATTCTCCAGAAACTCCAGATCTGGCAGTACATGCATACAGTTAATGCAGCAATAAGTCCAGAAGTCCAAAAGAACAACTTTTCCTTTCAAATCCTGCACAAACATAAAAATGTTTCAGGGAACGAGTGCATAGCATAGATATATCATCCAGAACTCCTCCTTTTTCCATCTTCTAGTATGTGCAACTTAGAAACATACCTCCAAGAAACAATAAGATTAAAAGTACTATTCAGCATATTAGAAAATTTTCAAATTCATAGATGATATAGGTATTCATGGTTGCCTCCCATATGCTTAAAGCCTGGATGGGCAGAGTTACCCAGTATTTGTGTGGTGGGAGGTAGCAAGCACCCGGTGGAATAGTCAAGGTGCGCCACACGCTAGCCCAACCACCACAGTTTAAAAAAGAAAAGGTATCGATCACTAAAAGATTTTTGCAGCCAATGTCATTGTCAAAAGATTCTTAACATTGTTCAAAAGGATAGTGTGTGGAAATCCATTACAATTGAACGGTATATTATGAAGCAACATAATATTATATTTGGGAGAAACTCCTCTCCAAGTTTGAAGAATTTTATACACACATAATCTATAGAAAACATCAATTAGAAAGCAGTAGATAACCAAAAATTTCCAGAATAATATTTGCATGAAGACTAGAGAATGGAAAAAGAACACAAATATGCACATATATGAAAATAAGCAAAAAGAAAAAGAAATAAAGTTGCCAGAAGAAGCAGAATTGAAATATGAAATTATGTATTTACCCTGCCTAGCTGAAGGGGGGCTGTATTCAGCCAATCAAGTTTAGATGGGAACTCGGACACGATAGTCGTAGATTTCCTAACAAAATGCAGAATATTAAACATGATAAAAAAACAAGTTAGGAATCTAAGAACAATTAAAGAGAAGTATATCAAGATCTAAGGACTCAAAAAATGCCAGAAAGCATGAAACATATATACGATACTAATTTCATAATTTAGGAAAACCGCAACGTTCTTTATTTATAAAGCACAAAAAGGTTGCAGTTTACATGAAAAACTTCTGTTACCTGGCATCCACATCAGAAATATAGTTTACAAATTGTTGAATCCTCTGTGAACTGGATGCATCTGCAGGAGCAATAGACAAATAAAAATAAATCTCCTTCCATTATCTCAAATATCACCGAAAAAGAAAAGAAACAAAAAGCAGCACATACTTCATCTACAGAATGGATAAAAACCACATTAGAAATGCCAAAAAAAAATGAGAAAAAAATAATGTCATCAAGGGAAGTTTCTTACAACAAGAAGAATGGAACAACAATGAAAATGAAGAGAAGAGAACAAATACTTCATTGTAAGAGGGGTAGACCTTCTTTCTGTTCAAAAGGAGGATTGCCTGTGCCAAATAACAAGTTCCAGATAGCTTTTGGAGATGCATACTGCATTGCCTGCATAAGAACAGCAGAGCTTGCAAAGATGAAAACCAAAATAAATTAAAAGGATACCTTATGCTTTCTTTATTAAATTCTATACCTTCCAGTTTGTAATAGTGAAGAGGAGACAGGATGCAGCAATTCCTAAACTTCCATATCTTACAACATTTCGTCTGGTAACCTGCACCCTGTCCATAAATTATTTCTGCAACTTCACGACAACATTATACCAATTACCAAATGCCCTAAAATGGCCATCTCATAAAGGCATATATGGACCCTTTTGGGGGATAAAAGTATTCCACTTTGCAAACGAGAGAATTTCATTTGTACGAGTGTTATTCATGTCACTCTAAGCATATTTGACTTTTTGTTCCTACATGCAGCAAAACAAAGCATGTAACTTAGTGATTATACATCATGACATAAAATAGATTGATAAGGATGTAAATCACCAGTATGCACCGTTCTTAGCAATTCAACTTAATCCAGGTAAAGTTTAAGAAAATAATTTCAGATGGACAAAGAGGGAACGAGAAAGAGAAGGGAAAAAAAGATGAATCTACAAATGCATACAGCAATTTGAGGTATTAGATATCAAAAGCGGTCATGATGATGCAGATGATCAATATATTGATTCGCTCTTACCCTCCCATCGAGGATATGGCACCACTTGCTACATAATTATCCAGCTCTGTGATACTCCCTGTCATATTGGATTCAGGGGAAGAGAGAGCTAGATCATTAATGGATTGAGATTCCTGCACCATCACATCTGCATTGTTTTTCATCATTAGATTCTTTTTATAGTAAGCATAGAAAGGGAGCCACTATTAACTACATATGATATGTTAGAGAAACACTAGAACTAGCAAATTTCCATCAACTAAGTAAAAGACAATAGTTAGCAGCTAAAACATACAGCTTAAGGGAGCAGAGAACCGGATATCCTTCAACAAATTATAGAATCATTACAAAAAAGAGCTTACTCGCAAGTTTTTCCATTAAAAAAAAAGAGCCTCAGTATTCTACATTTGTCAATGGTACATGAAAAGGGAAGTTCTTAACATGTTGGTGAACTACATACTATGGCTACCAGAGCCACCATTGAGGATATCTTCAAGTGAAATATCGCTTATCTCCTTTCTGATGAGTGATGGCTCCGCTGCTTCAAGTGAAAGCATGTAACTTAGTGATTATACATCATGACATAAAATAGATTGATAAGGATGTAAATCACCAGTATGCACCGTTCTTAGCAATTCAACTTAATCCAGGTAAAGTTTAAGAAAATAATTTCAGATGGACAAAGAGGGAACGAGAAAGAGAAGGGAAAAAAAGATGAATCTACAAATGCATACAGCAATTTGAGGTATTAGATATCAAAAGCGGTCATGATGATGCAGATGATCAATATATTGATTCGCTCTTACCCTCCCATCGAGGATATGGCACCACTTGCTACATAATTATCCAGCTCTGTGATACTCCCTGTCATATTGGATTCAGGGGAAGAGAGAGCTAGATCATTAATGGATTGAGATTCCTGCACCATCACATCTGCATTGTTTTTCATCATTAGATTCTTTTTATAGTAAGCATAGAAAGGGAGCCACTATTAACTACATATGATATGTTAGAGAAACACTAGAACTAGCAAATTTCCATCAACTAAGTAAAAGACAATAGTTAGCAGCTAAAACATACAGCTTAAGGGAGCAGAGAACCGGATATCCTTCAACAAATTATAGAATCATTACAAAAAAGAGCTTACTCGCAAGTTTTTCCATTAAAAAAAAAGAGCCTCAGTATTCTACATTTGTCAATGGTACATGAAAAGGGAAGTTCTTAACATGTTGGTGAACTACATACTATGGCTACCAGAGCCACCATTGAGGATATCTTCAAGTGAAATATCGCTTATCTCCTTTCTGATGAGTGATGGCTCCGCTGCTTCAAGTGAAAGCATGTAACTTAGTGATTATACATCATGACATAAAATAGATTGATAAGGATGTAAATCACCAGTATGCACCGTTCTTAGCAATTCAACTTAATCCAGGTAAAGTTTAAGAAAATAATTTCAGATGGACAAAGAGGGAACGAGAAAGAGAAGGGAAAAAAAGATGAATCTACAAATGCATACAGCAATTTGAGGTATTAGATATCAAAAGCGGTCATGATGATGCAGATGATCAATATATTGATTCGCTCTTACCCTCCCATCGAGGATATGGCACCACTTGCTACATAATTATCCAGCTCTGTGATACTCCCTGTCATATTGGATTCAGGGGAAGAGAGAGCTAGATCATTAATGGATTGAGATTCCTGCACCATCACATCTGCATTGTTTTTCATCATTAGATTCTTTTTATAGTAAGCATAGAAAGGGAGCCACTATTAACTACATATGATATGTTAGAGAAACACTAGAACTAGCAAATTTCCATCAACTAAGTAAAAGACAATAGTTAGCAGCTAAAACATACAGCTTAAGGGAGCAGAGAACCGGATATCCTTCAACAAATTATAGAATCATTACAAAAAAGAGCTTACTCGCAAGTTTTTCCATTAAAAAAAAAGAGCCTCAGTATTCTACATTTGTCAATGGTACATGAAAAGGGAAGTTCTTAACATGTTGGTGAACTACATACTATGGCTACCAGAGCCACCATTGAGGATATCTTCAAGTGAAATATCGCTTATCTCCTTTCTGATGAGTGATGGCTCCGCTGCTTCAAGTGAAAGCATGTAACTTAGTGATTATACATCATGACATAAAATAGATTGATAAGGATGTAAATCACCAGTATGCACCGTTCTTAGCAATTCAACTTAATCCAGGTAAAGTTTAAGAAAATAATTTCAGATGGACAAAGAGGGAACGAGAAAGAGAAGGGAAAAAAAGATGAATCTACAAATGCATACAGCAATTTGAGGTATTAGATATCAAAAGCGGTCATGATGATGCAGATGATCAATATATTGATTCGCTCTTACCCTCCCATCGAGGATATGGCACCACTTGCTACATAATTATCCAGCTCTGTGATACTCCCTGTCATATTGGATTCAGGGGAAGAGAGAGCTAGATCATTAATGGATTGAGATTCCTGCACCATCACATCTGCATTGTTTTTCATCATTAGATTCTTTTTATAGTAAGCATAGAAAGGGAGCCACTATTAACTACATATGATATGTTAGAGAAACACTAGAACTAGCAAATTTCCATCAACTAAGTAAAAGACAATAGTTAGCAGCTAAAACATACAGCTTAAGGGAGCAGAGAACCGGATATCCTTCAACAAATTATAGAATCATTACAAAAAAGAGCTTACTCGCAAGTTTTTCCATTAAAAAAAAAGAGCCTCAGTATTCTACATTTGTCAATGGTACATGAAAAGGGAAGTTCTTAACATGTTGGTGAACTACATACTATGGCTACCAGAGCCACCATTGAGGATATCTTCAAGTGAAATATCGCTTATCTCCTTTCTGATGAGTGATGGCTCCGCTGCTTCAAGTGAAAGCATGTAACTTAGTGATTATACATCATGACATAAAATAGATTGATAAGGATGTAAATCACCAGTATGCACCGTTCTTAGCAATTCAACTTAATCCAGGTAAAGTTTAAGAAAATAATTTCAGATGGACAAAGAGGGAACGAGAAAGAGAAGGGAAAAAAAGATGAATCTACAAATGCATACAGCAATTTGAGGTATTAGATATCAAAAGCGGTCATGATGATGCAGATGATCAATATATTGATTCGCTCTTACCCTCCCATCGAGGATATGGCACCACTTGCTACATAATTATCCAGCTCTGTGATACTCCCTGTCATATTGGATTCAGGGGAAGAGAGAGCTAGATCATTAATGGATTGAGATTCCTGCACCATCACATCTGCATTGTTTTTCATCATTAGATTCTTTTTATAGTAAGCATAGAAAGGGAGCCACTATTAACTACATATGATATGTTAGAGAAACACTAGAACTAGCAAATTTCCATCAACTAAGTAAAAGACAATAGTTAGCAGCTAAAACATACAGCTTAAGGGAGCAGAGAACCGGATATCCTTCAACAAATTATAGAATCATTACAAAAAAGAGCTTACTCGCAAGTTTTTCCATTAAAAAAAAAGAGCCTCAGTATTCTACATTTGTCAATGGTACATGAAAAGGGAAGTTCTTAACATGTTGGTGAACTACATACTATGGCTACCAGAGCCACCATTGAGGATATCTTCAAGTGAAATATCGCTTATCTCCTTTCTGATGAGTGATGGCTCCGCTGCTTTTAGAGTATCTTCTGATAGTGTTGTCGTCACTGCTATACATCTGCAAGTAAGTCAACATACTTAAGAATGTAGAAAAAATGGAATTTAAATGATCACTAAAAACAGAGGCAAAAGAGGTGCATTAGAATGATGCTGATACAGATTACTGATTCAGTTGACAGACGCAACAAATGAAGGAAAGTTCAAGTACGGTTGGTGATACCAACAACTTTGAACGAGTGTACATAAATCAACTATATAAAGAAAAGGCACTCAGACGCAAATACCTCATTTTCGCAGCTTTGGCGGCTTGTACTCCAGCTAATGCATCTTCAATCACAATACACTGTCAACATAGAGGATTATGATAATGTTTACCAAGGTTGACAAACAGGACACTGATCTACTTAACACTTCAAAACTTCATCATCCTCGAACATGAACCTTCAGCAATTCATAATGCACCCCCATTTTTATATCCATATTTAGAAAAACTGTTCTGACTGACCGAATGACAATTGCGCATCTCTTTCCCATCCAGAAATATAATTTTCAACATAAAAGTTGCCGACATATTTATCAAGTTTTTAGTATCTTCTTTGCTTAAATTTTGTTTTGCAGTTAACTTCATCTGATTATTACAGTCATTAATGAAATATAGGGAACTTTCAGTTAAATAGAACGTGAATGTAAACCTCAGTGATATCTTAGTTGGCTATAAGTTTCTCATCAGATTAGCACCACATACTACCCACAACAAAGTGTCTAAAAAGAAAAAAATGTGATGGGTAGTAGCAAAGCAGCATTGCACATCCTGGAAACTACCTCACTAGTGGGAACATCAAGAATCCGTGATGCAGCCAAGAAAATATCAGGAGCAGGCTTCAAATTTTTAAAAGCATCAGCAGATACAATTGCATCAAACCTGTCAAATCAAAGAAAAAGGATATGAGGTCAAATATAAATAGAAGGATAACTAAAGACAAAGGCGAGGGAGGAAGGGAGCTTTCAATTATTTCACTGCAAACATGTGTTTTTCATCCGAGTTGTACACTTTAACCTCAATAAACTACTATGTCCTTGCAAACTACATTATCAACCAACGCATAGTGTGTGTGTGTTTGCATATATACCATGAAGAAATGGACCTTGAATGTAACTCAACCACAAAAAGTTCTTATAAGGGGAGGATTGCTCAAAACCATATAAGGAGACCCCCCCTCGGGACACGCCCAGGTCTAGAAAATCTAATCACAGAGAACGTAACACGGGGGATCAATATTGAGAAAGAGAAACATAACAACAAGGATCGATGGGGTTTGACTTTGATACTGCGTAAAGAAATGGACAGTGGGTCTAACTCAACAACAAAAGTTAGCTCATAAGGGGAGGATTGCCGAGGACCATATAAGATCACAACCTTTGGAGTTTGAGCGCCTGATTCCATGACTAACAGATTCACTATGTCAACAAAATGTTTATGTCCAGCAATTTCCTCGGCAGAAGTTATACCAAAAAAGCTAAGCATCTCAGGAGTAGATATCAGGTAGTTCTTTAAAATAAAGCATATCTATACAGTTAAAGCATGCTACCTTCAACAAAGCTCCAAGAAGACCGTAATTGATCAATGGCCATGGAAATTAATCTGGAGAACTAAGTTGCCACCTAAAGTTATTTGTTTCAGTTGGATTACTCTAAAAGACTCTTGCTTGACTCAGAATAATCTCATGAGGAGGAAATTCCAAATAGTCAACAGATGCTACATGTGCTTGTGCAACTCAGAATCTATTAATCACTTGTTCCTTCATTGCACAGTTGCAACAGGCCTATGGAACATGTTCTTCTCACTTTTTGGACTCACTTGGGTCATGCCAAGATCATTGAGAGAGGCTTTTGTGTGTTGGAGTTCTTGGAAAGTTGGGAAGTCCGTCAAGCAGATCTGGTCTTTGGTTCCAGCCTGTATTTTGTGGTGCTTATGGACGGAGAGGAACAAAAGATGTTTTGATGGCACCCCAACTCCCATCTCTACCTTTAAAGCAAGATGTTTGATTACTCTTTTTGGTTGGGTTAATCTCTCTCCTGTACTTAGTGTCGATTCTTTCCTAGAATTTATCAGCTCCATAGATCTCTGCTGTTAGCTGTTTAGATAGCTTTTTTTGCCTTTTTGGGAGCTGATATTTCTTTCTTTTGTAATCTGTGCATCTGCTTGATGCTTTGTTAATGACATTCTTCTTACTTCATCAAAAAAAAAATATACTGATAATTTAAGTAGATAAAGTTCTTGCTATGTCTGATTCAGTACAATCCAGTGTTGTTGTTTTTTTTGAACTTGGTCTGATTCAGTACAATCCAGTGTTTCTTGAATGCCAATTATAAAAGGAATGAGAAGCAACTATTCACAGTTAAAGCGCATTATGTTAACTCACATCGTTATTGGTAAACCAGCTGCAGCCAAGTTTGCATCAACTTTAATCCGGTCAGCACTAGATGCAACAGCAACTTTGAGACCACTGCTTTTACACTGGCGTACCATATCACCAAATTAATGAAAAGTAACAAAAACAGAAAGAGCAAGACCACATATAGTCATGTCGCATCACAGGTTATACATACCTGAGAGACAAGTTCAAAGGCACCAGGGAAACCTATGCCAGAATTCGGTTTTGCATACTGCAAATGATTATCAGTTTATCAATAAAATTGTCAGTTATGGAGTCAGTTACCACGACTTAAAGGAAAGTGCTTTACATCAACAACATACCCAGTGAAATCAAAGTGCTTTGAGAGTAGATATTCGTAAATATATGAAATTTCAACAACAACAACAACCCAGTGAAATCCCACTAGGTGGGGTCTGGGAAATATATGAAATTTCAATCACCTTTAATAAATATATCTCAAAAAACCTCTTCTTGGCAGCCTCAGTATCAAATCCTTCAACACCCTTAGCAGCAGCAACACCACCTAAGAAGTTTGCTTCACCTAATATATTTCGAGGGTAAAGGAAAATGAAAAGGAGAAAAAGTCATTGAGAAAATATGGCAAAGGAACAAGGTGTTACACAATCAAAGACTCCTTTCCTAAAGGATAGTAACATCAAACTAATTTTTTTTATTACTTGGGGTCGAAAAGAAGAGTAACTTGAGATCAGAAAATTTAATCGATGTATGGATCCAATCAAAAGATAAGTTTCATAGACAATATGGATGATTTTTTTAGCACAAGTGTTTCTCATGGAAAAGGGTCCTAATTTAACATAGTGAATGAAAGAATTCACCTAAGGCCTCGGCTAGCTATATGCATGAAAGTAAGCAAATGATAAGATCTACAACCAGAATCAAAACCTATTATTTAAGGGGAAAGAGATGATGCTTCACAAAAATCAAATACTCAATGAGGTAGATGAAGATTACTAGTTTCTTACATAACAAAGTTCCCATGGAGGGGACTGCACAGAGATTCTTGATAAATTTTTTTTTTTCTTTTTTTCCATATTACATTAGCTGTCTTAATCATTACTTCATCAAATTCATCAGCAAGCCTTTAAACAGAATGACCAATGGCTGAGGTAAAGCCTTAAAAGATATAATGAGGCAATTTGAGAATAACATTGAACCGTAAAAAAAAAATCCCATTGGACTGATGCTTTACGCTTTATCCTCGACTTCTTAAGGCATGATTATCCAAAGAAGCTAGCGAAGTCAACAAAAACACCCAAAATTGTCAATGGTTCCCAAACCTATAAATCAAGAAACTACTTTTCAATCAAGAACTAGTAGGTATTGGTTCAATAGTTCAAGAACCAGTACGCTGAAATAGTACACCGCGGGAAGCAATGATACTTTCATACCCATCTTTCACATTAAACAATTAAAAGAAAATCAAGAAGGGAAAATCCAAATAAATATAAACAATTAAAAGAAAATCAAGAAGGGAAAATCCAAATACATATAAACAGATTGACAAAGAAACCTTTGTCCCGAAAATTCGAAGTACGCAAATAATCAAGAAATTCCCAAGAGAGTACTCAAGAAGAATACAAAATTCAAAAAATTCAAAGACAAAAAATAAAAAAGAATGTAATAATCAAGAAATTCAAGAAGAACATTGAACCGTAAAAAATTGCCCATTGGACTGATGCTTTACACTTCATTCTCCGCTTCTTAAAGAAGTTAGTGAATTCAACAAAAACACCCAAAATTGTCAGTAGTTCCCAAACATACAAATCAAGAACTAGTTGGTGTTGGTTCAATTGTTCAAGAACCGGTTGGTGTTGGTGTTGGTTCAATTGTTCAAGAACCAGTACCAAAATTCAAAAGAAAATAAATAAAAAGAATGTAATAAATCAAGAAATTCAAGAAGAATAAGAATTTACCCATGCCCATGAAAGGCACAAAGTCTTCAACGGTAACTTGAACACCCATCTCAGCAAAAACATCCACAGCCGCTTTTCTTGATGACTCCTCACTATTGCAGAGCACACCATCCATATCAAACAACACAGCCGACACTTTCCTCCATTGGGTATCCGATACATTCTTCTCTTCCAATTTTTGGGAAGCACTCACCTTTAAACCCGTTTTTCTTGATTCAAACTCCAAGATTCTGAAGGGTTTTGAAAGAAATTGAAAGGATAATTTGGATCTTGAATTGAAAAGTGTAGCTAGTTTGGGTTTTCCATGATTATAAGTGGGCAGTAGAGAGGGGGTAAGCCTTAACGCCATTTTTTCTCTCAATTCTTTTGGCCTTTGCTTCTACTGAAAAAGCCTTTATATAATTGTTATTGGGTGGCGGGGAAGGGGATGCCGTTGAGTTCCATGTGATTGTACTATTTTACCCTTTTATCCGCTTTGGAAATAAGCGGATAATTAGAATTTATTTGTCTTTTTTTTTATGTGACGGAAAATCTTGGGGCTTTTAAAAAAAATAAAATTCTATTATACATAAATACATAAAGCTTTGACAAATAAGAAGAAATTTAGCTAAAATTTCATTGTTCTCAAGTCAGTTCATTAATTACTAAGTCACACTCTTGAATACTTGAAGCAATCTAGTTAATATGCTCACTTATCTTGTACACTTCTTTTTAGAATTTTCAATTATAAAAATAAATTTAAACGTCAATATTAGAGTGAACATTATGTTTTAAAAAGTCATGGTAATGTTTTTTGAAAATTCAAACGTCTCTTTTTTGTTTGTTTGTTAGAAGACATTTTACAGCAGACAATCTTATGTTTCGTCTTAAAGAAATTTTGCATCTTTTTTTCCTTGAAACACTATTTCTAAGCAATAAAATTGACTTCTTCCTAAAAAAACACGATAACTAAAGGGAAGTAGTACAAAGCTTACGAGATAGAAACAAAAACAACAAAACAATCCGATAATTAAAACACAATAAATAACAGACGGTGATAGATATCAAAAATTAAAAGAATCACAATAATACGACAAGGACAACAATAACCTACAAATGCTGCTTCTTGACACGCTAGTTTTCAAAGACTAGAAGCTATATACATCTCCAAAACATCATGCTAAGGTTGTAAGATACTTACAGATAGAAACCTATACATATCTTCCTAAACCCACCAAGGTAGCAACTGAAATATGGGGTTACTTGTCTTACCATTATTCGGTATTTGTACAGTGGACTCGATAAAGGCTGCATCAGGGATAATGTTGCTTCCAGTGTCAGCTTGCGAAGTCACATGATCAATTACTGATGGTGCACCAAAATTGATCATACTCGGGACCAAACCCCTGTGCAAGTTTGGATTTGTTGTAGTTTCTTTGTTCTTATGCTGTTCATAAGCAGCCGTTCTCGGATATATCTTTCCTTATCCAGCTTACTTGCTTCAATATAAGGCTGCAAAAGTTGGAAGGAAATGATGAACAAGGAAAAAAGTTTTACTTCCCACTTGTTACATGGAGCAGTGTAAATTATGTTTAAAGAAACATAGGAGGTGAATCATATCATTTTAAATCTGCTAGCAACAATATGACAAGTACTTCATCGTACCTCTTTGTCATTTTCAGTCAGTCTTCCAGGCATTAATGGCCATATCACTGATTTTCTTAGAACCAGAACTCTCCCCAAGTATTTTCTTTAGTCTTTCACATTCCAACTTGAAATACATCTGATATGAACTCCTTCCTCTTATTGGAGCACCGAGGTGTTTCCTCAGATACCTGTTGGTTGATGAACTCTGAGATTTTTGCTCTGGTGTCTCTGGCCCTACTGAAAGAAAAATTTATGATCAATTTGAGTCCTGACCTAAGAAAATATGACAGTGCCTGAGGTAACAAACTCAAATTTGAGGTTAAGTTGGACAGATAGTAACTTTAAGACATTGCAAGGACTAGTATCAATTCAAGACTTCAAGTAATTGCATGAAGGGTAACTTAGATCCAAACAAATAGCACACATCTGAATGGGACATGCCAGGATAGATACATGTCTTTTAAGGTTAATTGATGACTTCTAAATGGAAGCAAATAACATCTTCTACTCTGTAATTTTTTTTTTAATGAAAGAGGTAAAAGAACTTCTAGTATGTATTGCTGCAAAGATTAATCTTGATGCCATGTATCTCTCACTTTTCATCTGTTCCCCCTCATTTATCTCCTATCCTGTTTTCTTTTTGGCTTAAAACATTTCTTCATCAAAGGGAATTCATACATGTCATATACACCAAAATAGAATAAATATTTGGCATTTAAATCATATCCAATCAAAGAGACGATCAAGAGTGATACAGGAGTAGTTCAAGTAAGCTTTTGAGGTGTGAGTTTGTTGTGGGAAGTATCTTTGCATAACAAGTCTCTTCCACCCCCACCCACCCCGCACTTCTTTTTTTTTTTTGTCTAGACAAGTCTGGTAGATATATTATATATTCTTGTCACTACATTATTAGAAATCTACCAATTCCTTTTCACAGTTAGACCACAAAAATAGCAATTCCATAATGTTTAGTCTCTACAATTGTACCAACTTAGGTCCATCCCCAGCTTTATAGGACATAAAGCATGAGTGTGTCCATTGATGGCTTAAAGAAATTTTCTTGAAAAGTGACATTCCAATGAGAAGTTCCGAAGCTTAAAGAACTGTAAGTCTTTGTGATAATGAAGAATAACAAACCTGTCGAAACTAGGTGACTATCATTCTTGCACTTCCTTTTTTCTACTGGACTGTCCCTATCATTAGAGTGCAAAGTTACCACGGGAGATGACCGATCACAAAATTTCCTCTTCCCCGTGGAGTCATCTGACCTATCGGCAGAACCATGTTAATTCGTTATTTTTCACAATACCTCTCAGATACACTTCTTTGCTGATTGAAATATGATACAGTGAATAAGCTTATGTTATAGAAGAAAAAATCCTTCTAAAAGATGACGAGCAAGGAGAACAAGTTTTTGGTACTCATTTTCAATAGTTTCAATATGCTATCTGTTGTCCCCTTAATCATCACATAAACAGCAACTAGTCATCAGATATGAAAACTAAGGCATGGAGCAGTTAGATATCAGAAACACACAGAATCTTAAGTGACTATTTTAGATAAGGTCTAATCGAAAGTGACTATTGACTACAGCATATTTGCTCCATTTGTGTACTCTTTGTGGACTTACTCTGCCGTGCAGTTCAGAGAACTACATCCATCAAAACAGTTTGTGAATGATTTCACTGATTCTTCAGCATGTTCCTGGTTAATTTCATATGTTTAAGAATAAGTGATGATACGCCCTTTTCACGCAAATTTATGTAAATTCTACTAATGGTAAACTCGAGATACCATCTCCTCCACTATACCAAAAAGGTTTTCAATGAGTAAAAAGGAAAAAAGGATCCTCCAAAATGCTAAATCACAATTCAGTAGTATTATAATGATAATATTTTATTTTAATAAGAAGTTCTTAATTGAAATAAGCAGCTAGGCTTGTTAGTTAACTTCTAATGGTACACCAAGACAAGGAAAGAAGAAAAAAGGCAACATACAAGCAGTCAGAAGGTTGAAAAGACAATTCACCTCAATGTTATATTGACATATTAAGAGAAGTACAGACCAGGAGTTCACTCTACGACATTAAGCAGTGCGGCAAACTGAGCTTCCATGTTTTCTGCCAAAAGCCAAAGCAATATCATAGGAACAGAAATAGAAGACACCAGCATGAGATTAAAAAAAAAATAGGGTAGGAAATTAACTAGGAAATCGGAAACCTACCTTTTCAGCAGTAGAGTTCTTGAGAGACTGATATAGCAAGGATAAAATTTCATCGATGAAACTTTGAAGATTGGGTGCCCAAAGTAAGATCCAACACATTCACGGTTCGTTATGACCAGTACATATGAACCTGAATGCAAGAGCAGCACACACTAGATCAGAGCAACCTTTAACATTCTACCATGTTATGTCTTTTCAATCTTCTTTTGAGATAAGGATAATAGTCAAAAAATGTTTTTCAGTGTCATGATAAAATTTGTCGTAAATTTCATAGTCCTGGTTTAGCTCAATACCTAAGATGTAAGATACCCGTCAAACGCATAATTGAACAAGACCAAGACATTGGTATATACTTTGTATATGTGTGTGATAATTTTATGGAACAAAATTCTTCAAGAGAATGAGCAACACAAAGGGTACATTCTTGGCAAATATAATAGACATTTTTTCCTGATAATGTAAAGATTTATTGATGTATGTCAGAGAGCTGACCTGCTATTGAAATATAAAAAACAAATTCCTGATCTTTTAGTTCTTCCTAAAAGTTCTTACCAGCCAAAAGCTTTAGTATGCCCATAACACCAAATATTTTCTGAATTTTGGGAACACGAACCGAACTGCGTTCTGGAACCTCATCTAACATAGCAAACAAGTACATATCATTAGCTTAATAAATAATTTAAGTCCGGAAGAAATTTATAAAGAGTAAAAGAAGCAACCAATTAGTTTCACAGACACATTCACGCAAACTGATCTCCAAGCACAAACCACAGGATCCATCAGTAGGCTCAACAACATACTGATCTGGAAATTCCCAAAGGCCGCATCCTTGTATATAATTTCTGTGAAGGGTCTCCCTTCTCCATCATAATTAAAATGCTACAGACACTGAAACACAAAGTTGATTACCAAATCATCGCCTTTGCGAATCAATTTAAGTGGGATATGCAAAATACAGAACATAACAACACAAGAATTGTAAACTCTGATACTTGCAACACATGTATGCATTATGAAGCTAGGTTTATACAAGTAATATATATATATATGGATGTTTCATCAGTACACTCTGTGACATCCTTAGCAATTAGTAGTGCAAACAGATGTTATGTAATTAAGAACAAAATAATGCAGAAATTATGTGTGTCAGTTCAAAGTCCTTTCTTTCCTCGGAAAACATTAAAGTACTCCCCTGTTACAATTTGTTTGTATTACTTTCCCTTTTAGTCCGTTTTAGAAAGAATGATTTTTTCCTTTTCTTGAAAGGAACACAAGATTCAAAATTCTCTGTTAAGATGTCCCACATCGGTAGAGGGATGGGAATTTGGTCTCCTTATATGGACTTGGACAAACCTCCCCTCAAGAGCTAGCTTTTGGGGTGTGAGTTAGGCCTAAGACCTAATTTAACACTTTCTTTATTTTCTTGAACTCCGTGTCAAGTCAAAATCAAACAAACAAATTGAAACTGAGGGAGTATCTCCTAGTAGTCAACAAGAAACTAATCCAATAAAATGGCAGCACACTGGAAATAATACTACTAGGTTCAGTTAATAGTTTGCAGATGGCGTGCATACATGAAGCTAAGTACCATTTAAAGAATGCTTTCCAAAATTTCAAATGGCGGATTAGTATGAAACCAAGTTGCTGGTGACAGCACATAATGAATGTTACCTACTTGACATGACGTACAAACCTAACAACTAATTGCTGGTAAGAAGCATCATTACCTGTTTAGTACCATCAACAAAATTGTTCAAGTAGTATCATGTTAGGGCATTACATCCGTCAGCAAGAACCCCCTGGGCTGTTCTGTGACCACATCTGCATATCAAACAACAATGTAGATTTTATAGTGATATTGATCGACAAAAGAAAAGGCTTGAGGTCATAAAATCAACTTGTTGACTATAACTTTTTTAGTTGTATGCTATGTCCATCATGATCTTGAGATAAATTTGTGCAGTTGGCATTTAAAGATCCAATCCCAGATGCTTACTCTTGATATGAATTTAATTGGCCAAAAATTAGTACCAATGTCAATGATGGGTTATATAATGTTCGTTGATTTAGGAACTTTGGTCAGGGTTTGAATCCTACTACATATGTATTTATATTATTGCACTCCCCAAAAATATGCTTTGCACTAATGCTGCCTTCATATGATACCATCTTCTTTTAGCAGAACAAGAAAGTTGTTACCTGACAAAATTTCCCTTTAAAGCTGGAGTACCAGAATACTGGATGCTTATATCATCCCCATGGCTGGCCCACACTGCAAATAGTTTTTAAGGTAATAGAATAAACAGGGCAAGATAAAGAAGCTTAATATTTATCCAGCATAGAAGCTTTAACACAGATATCAAAAAACTTCTCACAGAGTTTGAAGCTTTGGTCAAGGTTGAGTGTGAGCTAATAGTTTCTTCAGCATCGAAAGCACCAGACTTCTCAGTTTGAATTCAAGCATTTTCCGACCTAGCATGCTCTGCAAACAAACATCATCAATTAGGGAATCTGTAAAGTGTGCTGAGAAGTTGAAAAAAGTGGATCCAAATGAGTTAATTAGTACAGGCTTCACTTATTGGATAATTATCTAGCTCTGTGATTCTCCCTGTCATATTGGATTCAGGGGAAGAGAGAGCTAGATCATTAATGGATTGAGATTCCTGCACCATCACATCTGCATTGTTTGTCATCAATAGATTCATTTCTAGTAAGCATAAAAAAGGGAGCCACTATTAACTACAGATGATATGCTAGAGGAACACTAGAACCAGCAGCTTTCCATCAACTAGGAAAAAGACAATAGTTAGCAGCTAAAGCATACAGCTTAGGGGAGCAGTGAACAGGATATCCTTCAACAAATTATAGAGTCATTACAAAAATGAGCTTATTCGCAAGTTTTTCCATAAATAACACAAAAGAGCTTCAGCATTCTACATTTGTCAATGGTACATGAAAATGGGCAGCTCTTAACATGTTAATTTAACTACATACTATGGCTACCAGAGTCACCATCGAGGATATCTTCAAGTGAAATATCGCTTATCTCCTTTCTGATGAGGGATGGCTCCGCTGCTTTTAAAGTATCTTCTGATAGTGTTGTTGTCACAGCTATCTGCAAGTAAGTCAACATACTTAAGAATGTAGAAAAAATGGAATCAAATTGATCACTAAACCAGATTCTTTTTTAGCTGGATTGATCTTACCCATATAACCCAGATTCTTATTTGGATTTTATCAACTCTTTAGTCTTGTGATAAACCTTTGGATTTGTCAGCTCTTTAGACTTATGTTTTTGTTATTTTTGTATGAACTGGCATCTCCTCCTCTTTTGTAACTATGCATCTCCTTGATGCCTTTGTGATTTATGAAACACTTCATCAAAGAAAAAATTGATCACTAAAACCAGAAGCAAAGAGGTACATTAGAATGATGCTGATTCAGTTAGCAGATGCAACAAACGAAGGAAGTTCAAGTAGGGTTGGCGATACCAACAACTTAGCTGGAGTACAAACTCCTAAAGCTGCAGAATTGAGTTTTTTTTTTTCAGTTTAAAAAAAAACTCATTTCTGCAGCTTTGGAAGCTTGTACTCCAGCTAATGCATCTTCAATCACAATACACTGTCAACATCGAGGATTATGATAATGTCTACCAAGGTTGACAAACACAACACTGATCTACTTAACACTTCAAAACTTCATCATCCTCGAACAATGAACCTTCAGCAATTCATAATGCACCCCCCATTATTTTATATCCATATTTAGAAAAACTGTTCTGACTGACAGAATGACGACTGAGCATCTCTTTTCTGTCCAGAAATATAATTTACAAAATAAAAGTTTCTAACATATTTATCAAGTTTTTAGTTTCTTCTTTGCTTAAATTTCTTTTCCAGCTAGCTTCATCTGATTATTACAGTCATTTATGAATAATGATGTAGGGAACTCTCACTTAAACATAATGTGAATGTGAACCTCAGTGATATCTTAGTTAACTATAAGTTTCTCATCAGATTAGCATCACATACTACCCACAGCTAAGTGTCTAAAAAGAAAAAAATGAGATGGGTGGTAGCAAAGCAGCATTGCACACCCTGGAAACTACCTCACTAGTGGGAAACATCAAGAATCCGTGATTCAGCCAAGAAAATATCAGGAGCAGGCTTCAAAGTTCTAAAAGCATCAGCCGTTACAATTGCATCAAGCCTGTCAAATCAAAGAAAAAGGATATGAGGTCATAAATAAATAAAAAGATAAGTAAAGACAAAGGAGAGGAAGGCAGGGAGATTTCAATTATTTCACTGCAAACCTGCAATTTTAATCCGAGTTGTACACTTTCGCTTGTATAACCTCAATAAAGTACTATGTTCTTGCAAACTACATTATCAACCAATGAATAGTGTGTGTTTGCATATATACCGTGAAGAAATGAACGTTGAACGTAACTCAACCACAAAAGTTAGCTCATAAGGGAAGGATTACCCAAAATCATATAAGGAGACACCCACCCACCCCACGCAGGGGCGTGCCCAGGACTAGAAAACATAACACGGGGGATCAATATTGAGAAAGAGAAACATAATAACATGGATCGATGGATCTAACACTAATACCATGTGAAGAAATGGACCATGGGCCTAACTCAACCCCAAAAGCTAGCTCATAAGGGAAGGATTGCCCAGGATCATATAAAAAGATCACAAATTTGAGAGTCTGAGCACCTGATTCCATGACTAACAGATTCATTATGTCAACAAAATGTTTATGTCCAGCAGTTCCCTGAGCAGAAGTTATACTAAAAAGTCAAGTGTCACAGGAGTAGATATCAGGTTGTGCTCTACAATAAAACATATCTATACTGATAATTTAAATGACTAAAGTTCGTTCTAGGTGCTGATTCAGTACAATTCATTGTTTCCCGAATGAGGAATGAGAAGCAACTATTCACAGTTAAAGCACATTCAATTAACTCACATTGTTATTGGTAAACCTGCTGCAGCCAAGTTTGCATTAACTTTAATCCGGTCAGCACTAAATGCAACAGCAACTTTGAGACCAGTCTTTTTACACTGTTGTGCCATATCACCAAATTAATGAAAAGTAACAAAAACAGAAAGAACAAGAACATAAAGTCAAGTTCCATCACAGGTTATACATACCTGAGAGACAAGGTCAAAGGCACCAGGGAAACCTATGCCAGAATTTGGTTTTGCATACTACGAATGATTGTCAGTTTATCAATAAAATTGTCAGTTCTGGGGTCAGTTACCATGACTAAAGGGAAGGTGCTTTGAGAGTAGATATTCGTAAATATATGAAATTACAATCACCTTTAAAAGATATATCTTTAAAAACCTCTTCTTTGCAGCCTCGGTATCAAATCCTTCAACCATGCTTAGCACAAGCAACACCACCTAAGAAGTTTGCTTCACCTGATATATTTCGAGGGTAAAGGAAAATGAAAAAAGGAGAAAAGGTCATTGAGAAAATATGGCAAAGGAACAGGGTGCTACACAATCAAAAATTCATTTCCTGAAGGATAGTAACATCATACTAATTTTCTTATCACTTGAAGTCGAAAAAAGACTAACTCAAGATCAAATATTTTAACCATGTATTTGGATCAAATGGCAATTAACATGATAATCATTCAAAAGAACAAGTTTCATAGACAATAACGATGGTTTTGTGGGTACAAGTGTTTCTCATGGAGAAGGGCCCTAATTTAACAGAATGAATGAACAATTCACATAAGGCCTCGGCTAGCTATGTGAATGAAAGTAAGCAAATGATAAAATCTACAATCAGAACCGAAACCTATTATATTTGAGGGAAAAGATATGATGCTTCACAAAAATCAAATATTCAAATGAGGTGAATGAAGGTTACCAGTTTCTTACATAACAAAGTTCCCATGGAGGGGACTAGACAGAGATTCTTGATAATTCTTTTCTTTTATTTTTCTTCTTTTCCATATTACATGTAGCTAGCTTAATCATTACGCCATCAAATTTATCGGCATGCCTTTAAACAGAATGACCAATGGCTGAGGTAAAACCGTAAAAGATATAATGAGAGCAATTTGAGAATAACATTGAACCGTAATAAAATTACCCATTGGACAGATGCTTTACGCTTTATCCTCGACTTCTTAAGGCATGATATCCAAAGAAGCTAGCGAAGTCAACAAAAACACCCAAAATTGTCCATGCTTCCCAAACATATAAATCAAGAAACTACTACTCAATCAAGAACTAGTTGGTGTTGGTTCAATTGTTCAAGAACCAGTACCCGAAATAGTAGCAATGATAATTTCATACCCATCTTTCACATCATACACTTAAAAGAAAATCAAGAAGGGAAAATACAAATAATAATGTCTACAACCAGAACCGAAACCTATTATTTTAAGGGAAAGAGATGATAGTGCTTCACAAAAATCAAATATTCAAATGAGGTAGATGAAACTAGTTTCTTGCCTAACAAAGTTTCCATGGAGGGGACCGGACAGAGGTTGTTGATAATTCTTTTCTTTTGTTTTACTTCTTTTCCATATTACATGTAGCTTAACCATTACTTCATCAAATTCATCAGCATGCCTTTAAAAAGAAATCGTAAAAATATAATGAGGCCATCTGACAAATAGCATTGAACCATAAACATATAAATCAAGAAACTACTACTCAATCAAGAACGAACTAGTGAGGGTTGGGCAATTATTTCCAAAAATATGAATCGAACACTTGGAAGAAAATCAAGAAGGGAAAATACAAATACGTACTATAAGCAGATTGACAAAGAAACCTTTCCCCCAAAAGTTCAAAGAAGGGAAATAATCAAGAAATTTCCAATAAAGAGAGTATTCAAGAAGAAGAAGAAGAATTTACCCACAAAGTCTTCAACGGTAACTTGAACACGCCCACAGCCACTTTTCTTGATGATTTTGAAAGAAGTCCAAGATTCTGAAGGCTTTTGAAAGAAATTGAAAGGATAATTTGGATGTTGAGTTGAAAAGTGTGGCGAGTTTGGGTTTTCCATGAGTACACGCAGGCAGTGTAGAGGTGTAAGCCATTTTTCTCTCTTGTTTTGGTTTTGGGGCCTTTGGTTGGAGACGCTTCCATTATATACTGGGAATGCCGTTGAGTTCCGTGTGATTGGACTATTATATCCTTTTATCCGCTTTGGAAATACGCGGATAATTAGAATTTATTTGTCTTAATTATGTGATGGGTTTCCTAAAATTAATATGAAAAAATGCCATGAAATCACGTAAAAGTCTAAAGGTTGAGAATAAGAACGAAAAGAAATATAAATACTATTAAAAAAAATACTTTTAGAAAATATTAAAAATTAAAATAATAATTAAAAAAAAATAGACATAAAAAGAAGAAATAAAAAAGTAATTCGCTTGTAATTACACCATGTAATTATCAACGATTCACAGTCTCCCCTATATCTTATACGGTAATTACATGGTCAATCAAAAAGGACAAACAATGTAATTACACTCAATTACACCAAATTCAATTACAGTATAGCTTTCCAAACAGACCCAGTGTTTTACAAAAAAGTCTGAATTTTTATAATGGATGAAAAAAAAATTATATTAATTTAAGGGAAAATAAATTTTGAAAACATCTTAGGATGAGGCAACTCTCGCTGCGGCTAACACTATTCTACAATTGAGATATTACTTTTTGGACATTAATCAAATATTTTTTAATATAATTGAGCATATTAATAAGTAGTAGTATTATATTCTACATTTTTTTTTAAGAATTTTCAATTATAAAATAGATCTAAACATCAATATTAGAGTGAACTGTCTGTTTTAAAAAGTCATGGTAAAAAAAATTTAAAATTCACACGTTTCTTTTTTTTTTTTTGGTTAGAAGACATTTTACAGTCGTCATAGACTACAAAGCAAACAATCTTATATTTCGTCTTAAAAAAGATTTTGCATCTTCTTTTTTCCTAAAAAAAACAATATTTTCTAAGCAGAGATTAATTCATAAAATTTACTTCATCTGTTTTTATTTATTTGTCTTTAACCTAACTGAACACAAAGTATAAAGTTACAGAAAAATGTAAATTTGTCAAACATCTGCATAATGTCTTAAAAATGTCGTATAGAATATTAAAATAAAGAGATGGGAAATTAACAAAAACTTATTTTTTTAAATATACTGAAGTACGTGTTTAGACATAAGATTTCAGATCATGATTCCAAAACAATGTTTGGATATGCGATTTGAGTTCATGATTTCAAATTGAAAAATAAGATTTGGAATTCCAAATTGGGATCTCATTTTTTTTTAAATCTAAAACTTGGCCTATATGTTTTTGAAAAAAAAACAGACACATGTTCGAACTAAAGAGTAACATTCAAGCTCAACACTAATAAGGTGAAACACTGATCCCTACCAATATACATTACTTGTAGAGATGCAAAAGTGTATTGCTTTTGCACAATCTGTGGAAACTTGCCATATCCAGAAGAGCACATGGACCCTTTTACAAAATTTGCAGGCTGCTTGCACACAAATGCTGCTTCTTGACACGCTAGTTTCCAAAGACTAGAAGCTATATACATCTTCAAAACATCATGCTAAGCTTGTAAGATACTTACAGATAAAGAAAGCTATACATATCTTCCAAAACCCACTAAGGTAGCAACTGAAATCGACTAGGCAAAAAAGCCCCAATCCATCTGAAATATGGGGTTACTTGTCTTACCATTATTTGGTATTTGTACAGTGGACTCGATAAAGGCTGCATCAGGGATAATGTTGCTTCCAGTATCAGCTTGCGAAGTCACATGATCAATTACTGATGGTGCACCAAAATTGATCATACTCGGGGACAAACCACTGTGCAAGTTTGGATTTGTTTTAGTTTCCTTGTTCTTATGCTGTTCATAAGCAGCCATTTCTCGGATATATCTTTCCTTATCCAGCTTACTTGCTTCAATATAAGGCTGCAAAAGTTAGAAGGAAACGATGAACAAGGAAAAAAGTTTTACTTCCCACTTGTTACATGGAGCAATGTAAAATATAAGAAGGAAACATGAATGCTAAATTGATACATAAGAGTACATAAATGGCCAAAATTATGAAGAAGAAATTTAGGAGGCATATCATTTAAAATCTGCTAGCAACTATATGATAAGTACTTCATCATACCTCTTTGTCATTTTCAGACAGAGTCTTCCAGGCATTAATGGCCATATCTCTGATTTTCTTAGAACCAGAACTCTCCCCAAGTACTTTCTTTTGTCTTTCACATTCCAACTTGACATACATCTGATATGAACTCCTTCCTCTTATTGGAGCACCGGGGTCTTTCCTCAGATATCTGTTGGTTGACGAACTCTGAGATTTTTGCTCTGGTGTCTCTGGCCCTACTGAAAGAAAAAATTATGATCAATTTGAGTCCTGACCTAAGAAAATATGACCGCGCCTGAGGTAACAAACTCAAATTTGAGGTTTAGTTGGACAGGCTAGTAACTTTAAGACACTGCAAGGACTAGTATCAATTCATGACTCCTCAAAGTAATTGCATGAAGAGAAACTTAGATCCAAACAAATAGCATACATCTGAATGGAACATGCCAGGATAGATACACACCTTGGAAGGTTATTGATGACTTCTATATGGAAGAAAATAAAATCTTCTACTCTGTACTTTTCTTTATTTATGAAAGAGGTAAAAAAACATCTATTATGTATTGCTGCAAAGATTAATCTTGATGCCATGTGTGCCTCATTTATCTCCTGTTCTGTTTTCTTTTTGGCTAAAACATGTATTCATCCAAGGGAAATCATACATGTCATATACACCAAAATAGAATGAATCTTTGGCATTTAAATCATATGCAACCGAAGAGAAGATCAAGAGTGATACAGGAGTAGTTCAAGTAAGCTTTTGAGGTGTGACTTTGTTGCAGGAAGTGTTTTTGTATAACAAGTCACTCCCACTTTCCTTTTTTTTGTCTAGACAAGCCTGGTAATATATATTCTAAACATTGCATTATTAAAAATCTACCTATTCCTTTTCACAGTTAAGACCACAAAAATAGCAATTCCATAATGTTAACTCTCTACAACTGTACCAACTTAGGCCCATCCTCAGCTTTATAGGACATAAAGCATGAGTGTGTCCATTGATGGTCTAAACTTACTTGAAAAGTGACATTCCGATGAGAAGTTCAGAAGCTTAAAGATTGGTAAGTCTCTGAGATAATGAAGAATAACAAACCTGTCGAAACTTGGCGACTATCATTCTTGCACTTCCTTTTTTCTACTGGACAGTCCCTATCATTATGGTGCAAAGTTGCCACGGGAGATGACCGATGACAAAATTTCCTCTTCCCTGCGGAGTCACCTGACCTATCTGCAGAACCTAAAGAAAGACTATAATCTTCAAACAAAGAGAATTGATGGAAAACCAGTCACACACAAACTAGGTGATTGAAAAATTCAATTTCTAGTAACCATAGACCTCCAAACTTTCAACAAGAAAGTTACCTTTTACTGGTGCTAGCCTAGCAGCATCAGAAACTTGACTAGGTGGTTGCATGGTTCCTTTTTCTCTACTTCGATAGTAATACAGTTGCTCAAGTTGGAGAAGGAGATTTTCGTACACCTTCTGAAGTTGAGTTGGGAACATTGTGATATTGCTTTTCACATGCAATGTACATGCAACTTCACCCCACATAGCATCCTTAGTGACCTAAATAATGCAAATCAAGAACTCAGATAGTGGGGAAGTCATATGCATATCCAAATTCAGTGCTAGTAGGGGATTCATTTCATTTACATCATTTTAGAAACTCTTATGATCGGAGACTTAAATTAATAGCAGAACCATGTTAATTCCTCATTATTTTTCACCATACCTCTCAGATACACACTTTTTTGCTGATTGGAAGATGATACAGTGGAAAAATTATGTTATTGAAGAAAAGATCCTTCTAAAAATGACAAACAAGGAGAACAAGTTTTCGGTACTCATTTTAGTAGTTTCAATGAGAAAAATTATGTTATTGAAGAAAAGATCCTTCTAAAAATTATGTTTAGATCCTTCAGCATCTCATAAGCAGCAACTAGTTATCAGCTATGAAAACCTAAGGCATAGAGCAATTAGATATCAGAAACACAGAGAATCTTAAATGACTATTTTAGATAAGGTTGAATCTAAAGTGACTATTGACTACAGCATATTTGTTCCATCTGCATACTCTTTGTGTACACTCTGCCGTGCAGTTCAGAGAACTATAGTCATCAAAACAGTTTGTGAATGATTTCCCTCATTCTTCAGCATATTCCTGGTTATTTTGTTATATGCACTTTCATTTCACAAAATTTGGAGGTTATTTTCAGAAGACATTACACAAGAAATACACCGAATTGGTTAATGATCATAACCCCTCATATACATTTTTTTATGAGGGGGTTATGATCCAATTTCCAAAAGAAAATCTAATTTGCCTTTTTTTTTCTTTTCTCGTTGTCTTTTTCAAACAGTGGAAACATTCCTAATGCTTCAGAAGAAAGAAACATCAATTCACTTTACCAGATTATGTGAGGAAAATGACATGATGTTGGTACTGAGGAAAATGACATGTTGTTGGTAATGAGTACAGAAATAAGAAATCTGAATCTTTGAGCCATGGTGGGAAAATTTTTTACCTGATTAAATCCACCTCTTTTAATGACTTCTTCATAGAAAAGATGCAAGTCCAGGTTTGTTTGTCTTAAGTTAAAGCTGCATATATAGAAAAATAACCTTCCTTATATCAGAAATTTCATCTCTCAACCAACTTTCAAGTTTCAATATGCAAGCTTATAAGCCACCAAAATTAATACGTAACATAGTAATTGCAAATTACACCAACCTTCGAGATCAAAAGTCAAAAATCTCTATCTATCTAATGCTTGGGTCCTTGGGATTACCTAAAAGCAACTTGGTCGAACTTCGAGAAATTTATACTTCTCTCTCAAAAGCATTCATATTCTACCGTGGATAATGCAAGTGGCAAACAAAGCTCGCTAGTAGCTATAGCTAGTCATGAGCATTAAGCATGAATTTGAAAATGAACAGACTC